TCATGCTTTTTGGGAACATAGCCCTCCAAGATCTGGTCCAAGGTTTTTGCCTCTCCAGTCATGGGGTCGAGGTAGAGAGTCGGACTCTCACTTTTGAGGTCCTGATTTCCATCCTCGTCGTCAGACTGGAAGAGCTTCTTCTTCGGGGTGCTAGGTGCCTCATCATCATCATTCTTTGCACGCTTCTTTGACCCCTGAGCATTCTTTTCCACTTTGGCCTTGGCCTTCCCTTTTGCCTTGGCTTTGGGGGCAGCAACGTCACCCCCCTTTTCTTCATCATCATCATGTTCAGTCGCACCATCGAGCTTCTTCTCCACAGCTTTGATTTTCTTTTCATCTGCCAGCTTCTCTTTCATTCTCAGCTGATCCCGCCGAGTGAGAACCTGGCCAGGGAACAGGTGGACAAAGGGTCAACCATCCAATTTTGGTTTTAACTTGCGTTGAGATATCTATATAATTTCGATCTTTAAACCTCAATCTTCTTGGACACCAAACGTCCATTGAACATGAAGTTAGGATAAACCACCTTTCCAAATAATTTGAAACCACACGCCTCCTCAATTGGGGCAGGTGGTTCGATTGGGGCAGTGGGTTCCTTCTCCTCACCAACCGGCTGGCTGCTGTCAATGCCATCCGCCTTGAACATAGGTTGGGTCTCATCCCAATCGGAAGCAGCTGTATATGTAGGAGCTGGCAGAGCGGTGCTTCCTGTGCATGACGGGTTTGCACTAATGGTTAGTTTTTGAAGGTTGCGGTTACTGTCATCCTTTGTTACTTCACTACAATCATCACAAAGGGCCATGGTGTATGCTTCAACAGGGTAATATCAGTTCTCGGATATGTGTGTGTTCAGTATCCACGAATTTGAAAATCATATTGCAGGATCAATCTATGTGGTCAAAACATACCTGCACCTGTAAGCCTGGCCGGGCCTTTTGCTCCCGAAGAATCCACTGGAACTGTTGTTCCCCCTGACCTTGGTCAGTAGGTGTGACGTGGAGGCTTTATAGGTTCAAAGCCTAGAGGGGTGACTGAGTCTAGTTTTGTTGCTGCCATCTACCCTTACAATAATTGTTAGTTTGCACGCAGTCTTAAAAACGGCCTCAGGACGTGACTTCTCAAGCTCTCCCTTCTGCTGAAGCTGCTGCTTCTTCTCAGCAATCAGAGCGCGGATTTGTGCAAGCCGCTCGCCTGAGCAGTGAAGGGTAAACACCTGTCAACATGAAACCATGGATTCATGGGATCAAAACAAAAACTTACAAAGTTCATATTCTGATGGTTCGAGATGCTCTGGGTTTGCGATGTCGAATCACCAGAAGGCTTCGGAACAATAGATGGAGGGGACATACTTTCTGACAAGGATTTGGGCTCACTAGATCTCAAGGGGTCCACCTCAGAACTCTTGGGGCTCACCTCCGCCGTTCTGGAGTCCAACCATGCGTTGAACGCAACCATGTCCACTGGGTCATCCGGATCCTCTTCCGGATCCTCCACCGCATCATCAGGGTCTGCAGTAGAGTCTTGACCCCGACGAGTTGCCATATAGGCTTCGATGTGATCCTTTGACAGTACCAGAAAGTCACAACAAATTCATGGGTCGGACATAGCTTATTCTACTGCAAATTCTACTGTTGTGTTTAAGATGGATTTGGAAGCCAGTGAGCGAAAGGGAACAGGCATGAGACAACTCTTTGTCCTCCTGATTTGGGTCCAAAGTGAGGTAGAGCTCGTGGAATGCAACATCCTAGCAGGGTGAAGCAGATAATCAAAGAGATAATTGAACACAATTGGGACTACAAACGAGGTGATCGTGACCAAAGATGGCCAACAATTGAAAACATATTCACTTGTTGCCTCATCAGCTAAAGGATTAGTACAATTGGATCCAATCCAACTCAAAACCACATAGCACCCAAAAAGCACAGATTGAACCTCTCGGCTCCTTCGTGCACTCTCCCCGATTGACTCGCCTCTTGACAAAGCCAGCAAGCCGTTTGATTTCCACAGCCGGTTGGTAGACCCCCTTTTCCGACACAGGGAGGCCCAACTTGTTGGCCAATGCAAGCAGCTCAGCCTGCAAAGGTTCCAAGTGGGGCAAAGCATTCTTCGGGTGTTCGGCCATTCTTCCCAAGATCGGCTTCAAGATCTTTGCGTTTTCTTTGCAGTTTGCCCTGTTCGCAACGCAGAACTTCTGTGTAGATGGGTGGGTGATCAGCTTGCCACAGCCCCTGACCTTCTCCCTCAGGGGAAGTAGCCCTTCCCAGGCCACCGCTAGCCCTCTACAGTCCATGGGCAAACCACAAAGGGTGAGTGTGCAATACAACAACTTATTGATCCAGAAACAGGCTGCAGCAATCCAAACAATTCTAAATTCCAACCAGGGTTTCAGGGCATGCCCGTCCACCCAAGGAACTCTCCACAGCTGCACCCAACTCCGACCGCTGGAGAGAAAAAGAAAAACGGACCTTGGGCCCTGGCAGTGGTTCCAAAGGTGACGAACTCGTCCACGACATAGACATGCGGTCGCGATCGGTGACACATCGATGACATGACGCGTACGGAAGGTTTGGTGGAACAACCACACCAAGAATGAACCCATGGTTCTACATCGATCATGGTCAAGTGCCACCTGTTCCATATTTGTTGTCATGTTGGTTCTTCTCGATCTAAAACATGTTTACACGATGTCATTCCGTCCTGCATGGAACCCTCGAGCAACAACACATATCTCAGCCAAGGACTCAATTATTCATGAAAAACCTGACGGAAACCAAAAACCTGGTTTTTTCATTGATTATACATAAAACCAGGTATTGCGATTTCCACCCAAAAAAAAGTTGACGACAGACTCAGTAGGTATAGAAGTCCAGTTCGACTACTTGTTTCCACCGAAGTGTTAGACGCACAATACCTGGACGCGGGTCACATTGGAGTCTAAGCTCTGTTGAGCTCTGTTTCAATCCCTCTGGGTTATCCCCGCGGGGTCGATGGGTCGTTGAGAGCGTCCAGTCGGTCCTCTCGGTGTCCCTCCGTTTGAGGGTCTTTCACCGGGGCCATTGGGGACTTCGGATTCGGATGCTGTGCCAATGGCATGGTATTTGTCAGACAGGGAGATCCCTTTGAACTGGTTGTCGACTGGGTGTCGACTGGTCGATATTCTGAACTCCGACAGGATCGGGGATCGGGACGCCTGGGTCGAAGGAGTGGGTCTCCGAATTTTGATACATAATTAGTCTTGGACTTCCATGCATTCTGAGAACTGTACGACTGTACGACCCTGTCTCCTGAACTCGCAGACGATGTTGACAGGGTTGGCGAGATGACCTTGAAAAGACAGGGTTCTTCATCTAATGGCTTCATGGATTCCATTGCATTTTTCCTGTTAGACCCGTTCTTTGTCACGCTCCACTTCATGGATCTTCATGGATTCTAGATTCTAGGGCCTCTCCCTGAACTCACAAGGCACTCCAGGTATCTTCAGGTAACCAAAAGCGCGGAATCTGGGCCTGGATCCCTAGGATCTCATCGTGGCCTTTGACACCGCCAAGTTTCGCCAGGAGCGCGACTAGAGGGCGCGAAGGGAGCGAAGGGCCGGCAGTTGCTAAGGGGTTTGACCTGAGGGTGTGCAAGTGGCAGATATGTTTTAATAGGGAGACAGTTAGGGAGACCCCTGGTCCAATGGGTAGACTGGTAAGTTTTTCTTCCGGCTTGAACTGGGAGATCTCACTGTTTTGATGCACTTACGGTCACACCTATGTGGTCAAGGATCTGGGGAACACCCGTGAGCAGTGGTGTAAAATCGAGTGAACACAAGTGAACATCCCAATAGCGTTGGTGCTGTGACAGGGGCTTCAGAGGGTCCACAGTGGCGCCATTTCACTGAACTGATGGTGGGAGAGCTCGAAAGACGGTGAAGTTGGCTGAGGCCATCCGCTTTCATCAAAGCATGGGGGTCAACAACGACCTTGGTCACCTTTCGGAAGGGCATACCCTGAAACAAGCCAGGGGAATGCTGTTGAGTTTCTGTTCCATCTACACATGCCATGGTTTGTTTGATGAAGAGGACGTTGGAAGGAAATCCCTAGAGACAAGCGCCTGCCAATCTTTGTGCAGATTAATGAGGGTGTGACGTTCAAAAAGAATTGGCTAAGAGTTCTGAGCTTTCAGGACTGTATGGACTGGGGGTCCAGCAAAAGATCGAACTCAGGGCTTCGCAAGTGGCTTCGCATGAAGGTATCCCCTTGAACTTCTTGAAGACAGGATTTCAATCTTGCTGCCTTAGACAGGTGTTTGCCCTAAGAACCGGGTGAGTTCAGTCCGTTTGTCCGTTTTGATTGAGATACTGGTGTGTTTCTATGCACTAGTTGATCTGGTCAAGTTTTGTTGGGAAGTTAGTCTCTTCACTTTTTCCAATATCCCTGCTCTCGTGCTTGTCACTTGGATCGACTTTAAGGCTCCTTCGAAATCTTCAAGATGAAGATCACCGATATATCTATATCGTCTATAGCTATATGGTTGTATAATATATACATACATTACATACATATATACACATGCAGATATTATATATAATCTTGTGTTTTTAATCAGAACATGGCCGGACAGCCACGTCTTCGGCTTTTGGACCCGATGAACAGGATTGACATTATCTTGGTCAGGTCTCCATCACCTGTCTGCTGAAAAGCAGCCTGGTGCTGGTTTCAGGCCTAGAGGTTTAGCTGCTTTAGCTGTTAGCTAGCTAAGACTGAATAAACACGTACATTGGGGTGTTGAATGGTTCGAGAGAGAAAAAACACATATAACATACATATTTAGAAGCTGCCTGGAGATATATATAAGATGAACTTGAGAATGTAGATTAATAACAATGACCACCTGTTGGTCGGGTACCCTCTCCTTATCACCTGAAGGCAGATGGATAACGCCCGAAGTGTGTTTTTGATGAAGGAGTACGCCGACTACGTCAAGGCAAGGCAAGTGACATGGTCAAAGTCGAATACGCTGAACCATGCTCCGTGGTTTTGCGGAATCTTGTGGAGCTGATTCTTTTCCTGGTTCCCGGGTCCATCCCTGACATTGGGGGAAAGAGATGTGTTCGGTTTAATTGTTGGCTCCCGGTCCCTGAAGAGCAAATCCAGTACGACCCATGTTCAAATCCATGTATCTAGTTCTGGTCCCAACTGGTCATCTAGCAAAGGACACCCTCTTCCAGCCTTTGACCTCGAAAAAACGCTTCATAAAGGGAGGCAAAAAGGTCTGGATTGTTGCGTCTTGTGGAAGATGGAGGTGGATCCCAGAAGTTTACAGAGCGGCCTTGCACTGTTCTTCCCAGAGCAAGTTGATCAATCACTTTGAAGCACAGCCGAGAAACATCCAGTCATATCGAGTCGTAAGGCATGATTGCAGTGCCATGATTGCGGTTTCTCCCCGACGGCTCAAAGCATTTGCTGTGCCAGCCCAAATCACCAGTGGCCTGGCTGAGAGGATGGCGTGGCATGATCGATGGATGGCGGGCCTTGGGGCTGGTAATTCTTGTCCAAGAAAAGCCAGAAGACCACGGAAGCCAATAATTTCTTAGGTAAATTCATGTAAATTCTAGATTTCTGAAACATTCATTTGGCACAAGCATCTCGCACCTGAAAATGGACGACCGCCACAAAGCAACCGGTGAGTTATATAAATGTCCTCAGTATAATATGTTAGTCAACATACAGGTGTCTATGCCGTATAACACTTGTGGATACTTGTGGCATACATAGCACAAGCAACATCTGTATATCAGTCCTCTTCAACTGATATGGGTTGTTTCCCGTACTGGGACCCTGCAGTCAGGAGACCAATGAGCTGTACTCAAAACCCAGACAAATCATGGGACTGAAAGTTCAACATCTAAATGTCAAACCCTTACAATCCATTGTCTAAAAATCCCAATTCGAGGCAGATCATGGGGTGCTTCTTCATTGACTTGGAAACCTGACAAAAACAGAAAATCCTACGCATCCAATGATTGGACAGGAATCTTGACCCACATTGATCCGTAGATGCCAGGCTGCCAGTCCCATAAGTGCTTGGGATACCACTTTCCAGGGCATGCCAACCAGTGCCGACGGCACATCGCATGGCTTTCGGCAACTTGGCTGAGGTGATCAACTCGACTTAGTCGTCAGTTCCTTTGAGCACCATGGGCAGCCCAGACGCCGTTGGAAGCCCAGGGGGTCAGCTGCAGCTGGCCGTGTAGACATGAGCCCCAAAAACACATTTAAAAGCATCATCACTTCGTGCCCAAATCCTAATATATAGATCTATACCCATGGAAGTTCACGCAACGAAGTTTGCATGTGTGAAACTATGTGAAACTGACCTTGCGCACGACGTCAGATTCTTCCTCAGAAAGACCCCGAGCGCATCCGAGCGCTGAAACCCCATGGAGTATCAGTCGACCTGTTCGTACGAAGTACTAGGCCCCCGTGACGTTCTGTTCCAGTCATGTCAACGAAGGGGTCGTCCGTGCTGGTCCCATTCCGAAGGGAACGGGCACGGCTGGGGGCGCTCCTCGGGTCGGGTGGGGACGGAACCACCACCTTTTCGGATGCTCTGAAGCACTCGTGAAGCTTTGGCGATGAGAGGGACGTTATGCGTTCATTCTTGTCCAAGCGATCTATGTGGTGAATGTTAAAAGGGTTTGACAGAGATATTTGGTTTGTTTTGTTATCTAGGGATATTGTTGGAGATGTCCATTTGGTGCCCAATTTGGTTCATTATTTTGTACTAGCTATAGTTGAGTTTTATTGGTGGGATAAGCCTGACTTTGAGAAGGAACTAGTCTTCGATAGATTCACTACATGAAATCGTTTGATTTGCTGAGAACGAGACCAACGAGGGCAACGAGAACGAGATGGAGGCCATCTCGAAACATCCCGGAGCTGGAGCTAATTTGTTGGTGTTTGCAGATAGCACATACCACAGACCCTCCTAAGTAGGGGCTGGACCCGAATTCTTTGGAGGGGTCCGGACACTCAAATCCCTAGACCTTGCGGGACCAAGGTGACCAAGGCCTTTTTGGAGCCTTTGGGTACATGAAGGTTAGACAAAATAAGACAACTGAATGGATGTTTGGATTAATATTTGTTGAGATGATGGTTCATCGAAAACCACTTCATACTGTGAAAGACAGAATTCTGCGCACAAGAACTTGTCAAGTAGGGATCAACACATAAAGCCTACGGAACGCAAATACCACTGAAGCTGAAGAACCCATCCGCTTTGAACTGCCGACGTCGAGAAAAGACTCGAACATGTCACGTACGGCACCGGGAAGTGAAAACGACAATTGTGTCAACATGGTTGACCTGGTTCTGTAGTGTAAACCCTTAGTAGAACAATGGTTGTTTGGGATTCAGGCTATTGAACACATGGTGGGCCTAGGGTATATGTGAACGTGAGGGACCGGGTAGACATCGTTAGGCAGTTTAGGCCAGAAAGGTTGGTCGGCTGCTGTTTTAACTGATCGGACAATGGATGCCTTATCTGGAAACAATGACCTACAGACTGTGAATCAACCAAGCACTCCAACCCAATAGCAATGGCCTCCAACCTAAGATTCATGGCCTCCACCCTAAGTGCGATGGGCTCCAACCTAAGAGTGATGGCCTCCAAAACTTGTCGACCAAGCACTCCTGACTTGGTTCCGGGTACCTCCTGACCTCGGATGGTCGTTTCGATGGTCGCTCTTCGATGAAACTCCGGGGCTTCGAACTCGGGGCCGAACAAAGCAGGACGCTCCGAACCTTAGGGGACTGATCACATATGCCTACATTGGGGTGGTTTTAGGGGTCAATGTAGGCATATATGGCATACATGGAGTGTCTGGGATAGGTAGAAGCATCGCGAAGATGCGATGCTGGCGCACCTTTGGTGGTCTCGGACACCGTTTGTTTGCTTACTGGTCCAGGCCGTCGGAGAGGTGCCCGCTGAGCCATCAGCACCGGCGGAGCCCAGCGCAGGTGCCGTGTGTGGTGTGAGATTTTGCAGGTGGGCATCGGCTTGAGCCAAGACATACCCCATCATATCATAGTTATATCATATTATATATATATATGATTTGTCCAATTACCGGTAACTGTGGGGAAACAATTATCACGGTTTTGATATGAAGGCCTGCAACCCAACCACCATCCACTGGGGGTACTCTTGGGATTTACCCATGCAAATATTATATCCATTTATCCATTTATATCCTATTGTGTCGTCTTGAAGATCAGATGCAAAAGGGAAGCTCAAAAGAACATGCCTAAGTTTTGAAATGGCTATGGCTCCCTCTAAGTCCCTGTGGGGTGCAAAAGGCCTCGGTAGATGGAGTCTTGGATGTCCAGGGTGAGGGCAGGTGGAAGGGGGGAAGATGGTTCAACAACAAGAGGAACATCATAATGGAAGGCAGGGTCGCTCAGCTCCTGATAAAACACGTGAGGATGACAACGGAACCTGGCTCCATCATTTGGGGCTTAAAAGCAATAGGTTGGAGGCCAATGCTCTTAGGCTGGAGGCCATCGCTCTTAGGTTGGAGGCCATTGTTCTTAGATGCTCTTAGGTAGACTCTTTGGTGCTCGTAGAGCTGGACTTCTGTTTGATGCCATTTATAGAAACCATTCAGTCCTTTTAAGTGGCTGAGTGGCTTCCTGGTGTCTTTCCTTGCTTGCTGCTTGCTGGCCCTGGCCTAAACCCATCCGGGATGAAGCCACATTGCCAGGGGGTCATGGGGTCTAAGTACCTTCTGAGGATGTGGTTGGAGGTCTAGGGACAATGGCTTTGTCTCTTCGGTTTCTTTTGAAATGGCTCAGGATCCGCTGAAACTGTATGAGGATGGTGCTTCTCCCACTCCGTGTCCTCCACATTCAGGTGACCGAGTGCGCCTTCCGTCCGACTCCCAGCTTTGATGGGTGAGGAGATGCTGAGAATGATTGCTTGGTTTTTGCGGATCGTGTGGCTTTAGATTTTGTATGATTTTGTTGTATATAGGGTTAATCGATCCTCTTGGGACTCTTGGGCCATTTTTTGTTAATATTTTTCCCCCGGCTTCCTAGGAGCAGCAAATCCAGGATGAGCATGACCTCATGAAGGGGGCACTGGCACAGGTCTACCACTGATCTACCACAGGCGTTTCAAGGTTGGTTTTTGCCCAAAGAGTCACAGCTTTGGTGATGTGTTTTCAAGTTGTTGGGCTGGTCTAGCTGGGGCCGCTGGGGTTTCATGTCAACCCACACTCTACTCTGAAGGGTGTAGATCGGATCCAGGACACCTGGGTTTGTTCCAAAATCCAGAAGGAAACACCTTAAAAACTCTTAAACTAACAGCAGTGTCACAAGACGGGGTGCGATCCATGGTGGTTAGGGGGGCCCAGCTACTCCACTCACTGGATGGGACTAAACACCACCCCGACATGTGACTCCTGTAATATATATATATATATAACACCATCGGTTTGTGAGTGAGTCACCCATGCCCATGCCCATCATCTATCTCCTTTGTTTGTTTGCTTTGGCGTTTCTCATGGAGTGGGCGGTTCTAGGTCTCTACAGTCTACATCCATTCTCTTGCTTTGTGTCCTAAAGCTTCTGCATCCACCGCGAGCTAGGGTTTGACAATTTTTTGTTGACGTTTTGCTCAGCAAAAGTGCTCCTGGCCATTCCTCTGGCCGGCCCTAAGACCCTGAAAACAGACGCACGGAAAGCAACTGGTTATTGGGTGGATCAGGCGATGACATCCATCCTTCTTCGGGTTCCTGGCTCAGGGTGCAGCTGAGCCGCTTGCCGGCCGATCGCCTGGCGAAAGTTCACCAGGCTCGGTGTGGTCACTGGAGGTCCGAGTTGGACTCATTTGATCACCTAACAAGAAATAGATCAGACACATGTTCCTCCCGCCTACTTAAGAACACATGCCAACTGTTCAACATGTTACTTACACCAGACGCATGTCGCGAGAAAAACCAGTGATGGAATCATGTCCGGTTTTCAACGAGCAAGTTCGGACCGTTGGACCGAACCGTTGGTTCGTAACCCCACATGAAGAGGTGTCACAATCGTTTTCGCTTCAAGCAATTTGGCTCATGCAGAAATAGTTTCTGTTGGGGACTCCATTTAGTGTGGCGCTTCTTTCTCTGATGAAGGATCTGACAGTCCGGCTGATGAGGAGCCGAGCGGCAAGCATGATGTCAATTGTGGATGTTGGTTCTGTCGAAGAAGCAGAAGCAGAGAAGCAAGAAGAGAGAAATTGATCAAAGCTAAAAGTGAAGAAGGCGAAAAAGCAAAGAAAGAAGATGCGGCTGCAAAAAATGTGCCGCTGGATTACGTGAAGAATGATAGCTGCAGTGAAGAGTATGCTAAAAGCGCACAAACCGATGACATTGAAAATGGTGCGTGTGATCGAAATGACGCAGTTGTTGCTATCTTAATGTATCGAATTTATCCCTCCCCACCAGGGTTCGGGTTCTATTCCTGCATGTCGCGCCGTGAGATTTATGCTCAATGCGGCACAAAAATGCCTGTGATGCCCAATTTTAGGTATCACAAGTATGTTCATCCTGCGCCTATTCCGATGGGATCTGGTCCTAGCAGACATCCGGTTCCTGAGCTGATGACATTGGCTTATTCGGTTTATGGTGACAGTTTGGACGAATTGTTTGAGCGTGGTTACTCAAGAGCAATTCCTACAGCTTCTACAATGGCTGATGCTATTGACAAGGCTGATTTTGCTGAGCCTACTCTTCGACACATGCCATCTGGTCCTTGTTGGGAATTAGCTTCTGACATGGCCTGGGAGTATCTCAACTATGGGATTCACAATGAATCAATTGTGAAGACATTGGATCAGGAGGCCCAAAACCCTACGGTATTGCAAAAGCTTCTGGTTCTGGTGCGTATCCAAACATCTTTACTGATGAATTTGGCCCGCATCCTAAGAAATTAGACGAGAAGTCGTCTTATGGGCTTTGAATGCAGCTGCTGACAAACTTCAACGCAAAAGGCGCTCTTGATCTCAATGACCGCAGGTATTGGTCTAGATGCTTACATCGGTGTGCACTCGCAGTTGAACCGAAGGTTCGATTGTGGACTATGGATATCCTTGCAATCTTGTATGCGCTACAATGCATCTTCCATATCTTGAACAGCTGGGCTCGTTGCCTAATGGTTGTTATTATGGTTGTGATGCAAGAAGGTGCTGGCAGGATATTTTATCCGATTTCAAAGCAACTGGAGCAAAAGACGTCATGACTCATGACATCCGAGGACAAGATCGATTTACAATGCATCAGTATGCACATCTGTTCAACGAACGAGTTGTGGAGCTGCTTACATTGAAGTCGAGACAGAGAGTCCTTGGAAATAAAGTTGTTGAGCTTCTTGACGCATTGGAGGCAATGCCAATTGTTACGCCGGATGGGAGAGTTTTTTCACTCCAAGATATCAATTCATTCAATCTGGCAAATTGGGCATCGCGGTTCTTGAAACTTGGATGAATTTGTGCTTCATCTTTCTTGGCGAAGTATACTACATTCTTCGTACAACAGAAGTTGGGCTCGCGAAAGCGAAGAGTCTGGCTGATGACGGTACAGAAGTCGGGGACCGCCACCACTCATGACCTTATACAATAATACTCTTCCATTACTGTCGTTCTTGATAATCCAGCCCACTGTGGTCTACCATACAGCGAATGAAGACTCATAAAGCAATTGGTGTTGATGGGTGGTATTCGGAAGAACTCCATAAACTCACATGGAGTATGGTTGTCGATCTTTCCACATTGTTACAGCACATGTGGCCACACGGCCTTACGCCCCAGCAGATGCAAGCTCGTACCTTATTGTTCGCAAAATGCGCCAAACCACAGAACATGTCGCATGGTCGACCAATCACCATCCTTGGATACCTTGTTCGATTGTCGTCCAAATTGGTCGCGGATCAATGGGCCAAACTGTGGCCACCTGAACTTAGTGGAGGCCTGCCAAACCGGTCAGCTCGTGATCTTAGCCTACAACAACTTTTAACAATTGAACAAGCCAAGACAAACAGCACCGCCTGGGCGGGATGGACAATGGATCTCGTAAAGGCCTTTAACCTTATTCCGAGGAGAGTTGTGTGGTTCATCTTGCAACTACTTGGCGTCCCGGCCCATGCAATCCAGTGTTGGTTCCAATGTTTCCAGAAGGTGACTCCATGTCGGTGGTGTGCATGTTGGCCTTGAGCTTTGTTTTTCATCATAAGATCGCCTCACCACAACTCAGACCCTACGCGTATGCTGACAATTGGTCATGTAAGACCACTTCAGAACGTGCCGCCTTCTTGGCCATGCAGAAAATACTGAATCTCATTACAACTCTGAGGATGCAGATTGATTTCACCAAGTCCTGGGCTTGGGCCACATCCAAACAATTTAAAGAGTTTTGGCGTAATGCCTCTGCCCTCCTGATGCAACCAACCTTCCAGTTCCAGATCAAAAATAATATCCATGATTTAGGCTGTATGATACACTACTCATGCAGTTGTTCTAGGCCCAATACGTGACAAAATGGACAATGCTGTCGCCAAATGCAACCGCCTCCGCAGACTTAATCTAGACCTGGATGACAGAGCAGAAAAAGTGCAAGTGGCCATTTGGCCTGCTGTCTTTTATGGGGCCTTTGGGCAGGTGATCGGTGACAAGCAGCCGCCAATGTCTTGGTAGGTGATCACAAACATGCCTCTAGTTCCGTCGCAGTCCACGATCTATCTTCCCGTCTTCAAGATCCCTTACTATGTCCTCACAGACTTGGTCACCACCATGCGCCGGTTCTTTATCACCCATCACAAGCCATGGCCATGGTTAACGCTGTACGTGCATATCAAGGCAAGGTCACAGGACCCGCTACAGCCTTAGCAGCATACATGGCTCAGGTGTGTTGGGAGCTAACAGCCAATGCCAACCTCCTTGGCCCTGGTGGACTTCGTTTGAGCCTGCGTGCTAACTCCAGCAAACAAATTAAGGAACAGCTTAATATTGCCTGGGATTGGCACTGCCATAGACAGACTCTGCATCGTAAAGGGATACAATCCCAGCTCGATACGCACTCTCACCAATATCTCGAATGTCTTGCATTTCAGAATGTCCGTGCCCAACACCCCACTGCAGTTCAATGTCTCCACACACAGCCACAATGGTGTTTTTCCACTCCCCACTCACGCAGAGGAGGTCGAATTAGTTCGACAAGCCATGCATATTCGTAACCATACCTCGTACAACCAAGCCATTGCTCAAATCATGCAGGACACCATTTAATACACCACCGGCTCCTGTGATGATCCTCAGGACCCCTATACATCGAGAGCTGCCTGGCTGTAGTTATCAAAAAGTCTGCAGATGCTGCGTATCAATCGCAGCAGGCCTTCCATGTCTCAGCAACCGGTCACTGTACAGGCCTCCAGACCATCAACCGTGCTGAACTCTATGCCATGGTAGTGGCAGTTGAAGCCATTGCACCTCTTCAACCAGCTGTTCGTGTAGGTTTTTGTACCAATTCCCTCCTTCATTCCATCGAACATGGCTTGATTGATTCCCATCCACACAAACGATCACATTGGGATCTCCTTCGCCGACTCTTGTTTTGGTGGGATCCCACACAATTTATGTCATCAAAATTAAATCGCATCGACGCACTGAAGACGCAGTTTCACATGCAGATTGCCTCAATATCTGGGGGAATACCTTCGCCGATGAAGCTGCAGTTCGAACACGTAAGACAGATTTGCCCAGTTTTGATCAATTATGTAAAGATGTCCGACAACATTATGTTCAGCAAAAGCGTGTGATACCGCAGATTTGGCATTACATGCTAGAAATAGCGTACCAATGGTTATTGAAAGCAGAGGAGGACGCTCAATATCATAAAGACTTACCCATGGGCTTGGCGCGGGCCACAGGGTCACAAGCCGCCAACCCCAGAGATACACCAGATGACACACCCCTGACAACTTGCGCATTCGTAAATATCAGCAATGGAATGTGCCTGAAGATCACCGCCCCATGTATAGAGTCGTCGTTTGGTCCTGCACATGGGGCATCATTATGTCTCGACTCTCGACTCGTGTGGCAGTTTTGAACCCTTCTTAAATGGCCCCCGGCCTCTGCATCACCGCAAAGGGAGGATCGGGGCATATCGTGGGTAGAACTTGCTTTTTCCTTTATGCTTTGGTCAGGTCAAACGTTGCCAGTCAAGATCCGTACAGATAAAGGATGGCACACCTATCCGGTGCAAGGTCCCAAGGTTCAATTGTTACCTCCAAACCATCGCTCGGTCCGTAACATTTCTGAGAGTTTTCGCTGGGGTGTCAAACATATCCAAACATTTTCACAGACTAGATTTATCCCTACATATCGCAAGCAAGGTTCCAAGAGCCTCATTTCTCTTGGATTCTCGACTGATCACGAAGGGGGTATAGCATGCAGACCTGTCCTCCCTAATGGGCAGGTGACGTATAAGTATTTTCACGATTTTTTTGCTTACGATGCCATGTAATGCCATTGCTGCCGTTTGACAATTACACGGGAAAATAAGTGGCCGCAATGGCAAGAGTCAGATCCAGACAAACAACAAAAATTCCAGATTCGTGTCCGTAACGCGCTTCGTACCAAAAAAAGATCTAGACACTCTTACGCATCCTGACTTCAATTAGGTGCCTTCGTGCGCTACAATTCCTAAATCACTCTCGGAAGGGCTCCACTCTAAGGCCTTGTATGCTTGGTTTTGCTGTTGCTGTTCATTTCGTAGTTCCTTCCTTAGGTACATTTTTTCCACCCCTTCATTGAGAGTTTCACAACACCACCCAAACCCACTGAATACCAGTAAGGGTTGGCGTGGGCGTGCTCAGACTCGCAAGTGCGTGCATCCAAGTGGGCTGTTTTGTTATGGGGTTTTGTGGTTAAACGTTCTGGCTGACTTGAAAATGCGGGCTGACTGTCTGGCTCAAAAATGAAAATTCCCCACCTTTTCTACACTTGTACGTTCAGAACATCGTAGACTTGCATGACTTTTTGGAACTGCGCCTTGTCGAAACGAACTTCACAAATTGAAGTTCACCATCTTCTCACGAACTTCACCATCAAAGTCTCATATCACATGGTATTTTGTCACCAGAAACTAATGTGTTTCACCCAAAACGATCCGGTCCTGTCAGGCCTTGCTGGAACTTCAAGAGGCAGGCCTCAGCGAAGTGCCAGACCTCTCCAGCCTCTCCAAGGTCGTTGGGGTGGCCCAGACCTGAGCTGAGCAAAGGAGCCATGGGACCAGAGGGGGTGAGGGGGTGAAACCGTTCGGTGCAGACGGTTTTGAGGTGAGCTGGTGGTGCGCAGTTCGTGGAGGACACATGGAGTTCGGGGTCGAAGTCCAGGTTTTGCTTCGTCCCATATAGTCCGCAAGTGACCTAAAACCAGGCCTGCCTTTGTGACCCGAAACCAGGATATCAAACAGATCATTGCTTTATCAAACGCAGGTCAATGGTCTAGACTAGTTGATCTCTGCAACCAGGAGCTTCCAGCTTCGTCGAATTCTGACGGAATGAGTTTTCTTGACCCGAAAACATCGATACAACTGGTAGGTCTTTGGATGGGATGACAGACAAACTTGGCTAGTTTTGGCGTTGCACAGTTTCTTGCAAGTTCCAGGTATGGGTGTAATCAAGTATGAATGTTCTCCCCGTTCTCGCCCCTGGCTGGGTAAATGTGTTTTTGTTGCTGCACCTTCCATGCGGCGTCCGTGCCGAGGGTGGGCCTATTTGAGCTATGCACACCCGGTCAAGGGATGGGTCAAAACCTGAAGCCCCAACACAATGTCTCCGACTCACTAACATGGAAGTGGAAAAAACCATCTTTGTAGAGGAAGATGGTCTTCCAAGGGACCTTGCCTTCCACTTCCATGTTAGTTCCAGGGAGTGTAGCTTCACCTTCCGGGGAGCTCAACCGGGACCGCCACTGAGCACCGGATCTATGCGAAGCGCGCTTCCGCGCGCGTTGCGGCGCGTGGAGAAGCGTGTGTGCGCGGCGGTCGTGTGACCAAGGTCTTCCGGTGGTGGACTCACAACTAATCCCAGACACGACACATGGGACTGCCATAGGACTGCCATATCAGTTGGGGTTGGTTTGAGGGGTGAAGGGGGCGGCATATTATGGCAGTCCCATGGAGTGTTTGGGTCATGATATGACAATGAGTGGCATCATGTTGTTTCATATCGTTGTTGATGCTGCTTTGGGGATCGTTTGATATCGTATGCCACGGTGCCTCCAAAACAACCAAATAATCACACACACACACACATGTGCTCGCGCTCGCACACACGCACACCAGGACACCCGGTAGCCCCCGGGTGCGGAGCTCCAAGCAAAACACCACTTTTAGAGGGTTCACTCGAGGTACCTTGAAGTCCAAAGACTTGGTCATAAAGGATTGTCCTCTTTTCGCCTTTTTGGGTGTTACCTAGTCAGACTAGTAGTCGGACTCATTCTGTGAAATCCTCGTGGACTCCGGAGAAGGAAGACCCATCCGGGCTCTTTACCTACATCCAAAAAGAAGGTAGCTATAGACCATGTTTAGATCCCCTCTCATCCATTTATCGGTCCCACCTTTTCAATTGTGAACTGCAGGAGTCCCGGTCGCTCGGGATGATCTCCTCTCATCGCGAGGTGAAGAAGAAGGCTGGCGGTAGCAACGCCCAGCTTCCCGAGGAGGACGGCCCGGTAAGCGTGGCCCCGCCCGGACCGATCCGGGGAACGCACCGGTGAAACGGAAGACGTGAAGACGTTGGAAGATCATGTGAATGGTGGTGAAAAAGAAGGTCCACTGCGGGATGACAGCTAAAGGCACACAGGATGCGGGATGATTTACGATTCTATCATCCTGGAATGGTTTTATAACATTATTGCACACTGTGCTTTCTTCGAAGGCCGAACGAACTCCTCGGTCATCATGTTCCTATAAAAACAGCGGTGTCGCGGCGTGTCGAAGTCAGCTGCAATCCAGTAAGGCTCAAAGCTCCCCCATGAAACCGTGGCCCTTTTTCTCAGGGAGAGAGTCATCCTCAAGCTAGCTTGTTCATGCTTTTTCCCAGGAAGTTGTTGATACTCTTGAACCATACTAGTGGTGGGAGCACCCTTCTGAACCTGTGGTGAATGGTCCTGTTTCTGGTGCCTCCCTGAGGGGCCTTGCAGTTCTTCTTTCGTCCTGCTCAGCCTCCCCAAGAAAACGCTCCACTTCGATATATATTTTGTTTTTGCCACGTCGCATTTCTACACGTGACGAACTACGCTGACCTTTCCCTATTCCCTAAGAAGACGCGCCACGATTGGTGCGCCTGGCGCCACGCCGCCACGGAACTTCACTTCGCTCCACGGTGAGGACTTCACGTCCTCATACATGGCCATGACCTTGTGGTCCTGGACTCCCAAACGCCCGGACGCCCGGAGGGGTTGCCCGGCGCCCAGCGTTCCCTCATCAGCGAGGCTTTGTTGGGAGCGACTTCCATGGATTTGCTGGGAGCACAGAGAAAAGCATATAACATCAGCCCTATCTTCCAAGACCATTACCATTACTGTAACAGACAGGTTGCCCTGGCTTTGTAGTGTGGTCTTCATGTAAAATTCCATAAGTAAACCAATGGTTGGACTGTGCGAAACGACCTGAAACCATCATTGGAACGGGCGTCTCACCCGCCTGTTCCGCCGGCCTGGCCATCCAACCGATCGACAGGTCACGGTCGGGTCACCGGTCGGCCACGACGCACCGGTCGGCACGACCGGTGATTGGGCGACTGGACAAGCAGAATGGGGGGGCTATTGATGTTTGGAACTTGGCTCGTTCCGTTGGTTCCGAAGGGTCGAATTCCTGCTGTGAACACTGGACTCCTGGCGCCGTACGAACACATCCTCCGCCTGCGTGTCGAACACATCATGATCACCCTCTTATAGACGGTATGTAGAGCCATACCTAGACACTACATGGGACCCGCGTATTGACATACATCGGCGAAAACGCGGTCCATGTGGGTATTCCAATCCCATGGAGTGTTGGGTGTTTGGTATAGAGGCCTACCCAGTCAGTGGATAATCTTTAATCCTTTTTTGGGGGATTGGTTTCCCCACGAACAGATCGAAAAAGGTTAACCTTCTTTTCCAAAGGAAAATGAGGGAGTCAGGAGGCCCCCTCACAATGAAGCGATGCGAAAACATCGTCGTGGTGCACCAGGTTGGTTTGACAACATCAGCGACACCTCCGGGAAGGCTGCTGGCGGTGCCAGTGAGGTGCGGATTTTTTTTTTTTGGGGGGGGGGGGGGGGGGGGCGGGAGTGTTTCAGGTGAGGTGCAGGCAGTTCAGGCAGGGGATGGGGCTGGGTTTGATGGAAAGACCATGAAAGACAGTTGATGGAACAACCCCAAGAAGGTAATGCCAACGTCGGATTAATACACCCCCTTCAAGGTCAACAAGGTTTGAGATTGGAGGTATTGGAGACCATATCCCCTTAACAAAGGTGATTACCTGATGATGGGTGATGAGATGGCAAGATAAGGGGCCTGATTGGGATTGGGACCGGGATGATTCGGAAAGAGATGAAAGAGACAGGAAGACAAGATGTTTTCTTTGATTGAAATGATAAGAAAAATAAAGAGTATATAAGAGGATTGCAGGATGAAAGAGATGGAAGACAAGATGGAGGCCGGAGGGTGGGCTTGATTAATTTGGGGAGGGGCCCCTACTATTAGAGAGTGGTAGGGCCTGTGTGAGGTAGATACCCCTTTGTGAGCTTTAAAACCTTAAGATTTTGATAGAGTTTTAATAACGAACATGAACAAATTTTGCTAGCGAGTTTTATGGTGTTTTAACAGGGAAGGATGAGAACAAAAAAGCAGGATGGAAAGCAGAAGGAGGATGAGAATGATGGATGAGTGGACCAGAAGATATTGGATACTGACCAAAAATAACGGACATAAAAAACAAGTATAACTTATAATAGCAAACAATGTTCTTTCCTTTTTTTTTCTGGGCAGCTGGGCCTGATTGATAGGGGGAGGTTTCTGGCAAGGAAAGCTTTTATTAGGGTGATGGAAATTGAAATGTGGACTTCAGGTTTTAAGTTCTATAGCTTAGCATTGGGAGCTCAAGCCAAGCTGGGCTTGACTAAGAGGGGGAGGTTACTAAATCCTAGGTGCGCATTATGGAACTGTGACCAGCGGATTATCCTGTTCAAACGAACTTGCCACTTTGGATGGACATATCATTGATGAATGAACTATAGACCATGGAAAGCACTCGAAGATTCCGCCCAGCAAGATCCATCCATTCCGCTCGGTCTCTTCTAACGCCTGGACCGTTGCACGTTTTTTGCCACAGACTGATGCAAGCCCACTCCCCCGACCCACAGAAAAGAGCACCAAAGGATGCTGGCAATGGGGCGGAAGATGCTGTACCAGTTTTGGTGTGGAGCTCAGAGAGCATGTTGATCGGGATCGCCCACCACGTTGTCAGTGTCGTTGGCTTTGTAACAAAACCGTCCACCAGGTGGTTTGGCTTTCAAGGCAAACAGATGCAACGAGGAAAAGCATGTGAAAGAAATCAAACATGTTGTTTATCCCCTCTGGATCCACTGCCACCGTCTGAGGAGTTGATGTGTTGGACACCTTTATGTAGGCTTTAGGAGGGTCCAAGTACCTAAAACAAAACCCTTCCGGTACGCAGAAGGATGGATCTGCTTCATGTTCAATCCTCGGTGGGATAGACAGGGGCTTTTGGAGTTCTTGCATCGTGATCACTGGATGGGGTACTTTGTCAATACATGGCGAAATCCTTGAAGGATAACATCGAGAGCCTCAAGTTGATTTGGAAACATCAAGAGGTCCTGTGTACTATTAATAGGTATATAGTTATTGCTTATGACAATTGGATGGTTATATAATGTTATACGTATAGTTATTTTGTTCCAACCTCTTTGGAAACCTCCGTGTTCCACATACCTGTTCTCCTACTCTCGACTGAAGCACACAGGAAGAACCAAGAGGCTTCTGTACATGACCATCTTGTACATGTTGGGTCAGTGCTGTGTTGACTTGCCATTTCTCTTCCATCCTTTTTCTATCATTACAAATGCTTGTTGATCACCCCTTTGAACAAACGTGCAAACAAAGGTGCACTGACAAGCGCCACTAGAGAATAATTGAGTCATGGGTTTGTATGTGAGTGTCAGGTAGTTCGATTCTATTTACAAATGTTAGGCTCATTCTGGAGGTTAGGTGGTTCAAATGAACAACACAGCACCTCTTCCATCCTTGATGAAGGGGGCATGTGATGCTTTGAGAGCTTGATCTGTTTGGATGAGGACGAGGGCAAGCTCCAGGCGAGCTTTGACAAGAGGATTACCCAGTTTGACACTTGGCCAAAGACTGCAGCCACTGACAGCTCATGAGATCTCATGAGGTAGCCACAAGCTCGTGGAGTCCACAAGCTCACATGGAGTAGCATCATGCTGAATCGTTGCACTGTGATGGCGAACATGCTTTGACTGGAAGATGAACGGGTGAATACCTTTGGGAGGTAGTCATTTAGGAGCATAGACTCTAGACTTTGGCTATCCATAGCCTTCCAAGGCCAACCAACAAGAAAGGTTGATTTTGTGCCGTGCCGTCTAAAACCACCTAAAACCATTTGAAAAACAATTATATATAAATCAATGGTAGTTGAAATCTTGGGGTTATGTTCTTGCTCATTTTGGTGATTCCTGCCATTCCCTCCAGTTGAATCACAGCCCTTTCCCAGGTTTTCCCTAACGACAAAGTCTCAGAAACTGCTCAGACTCGCCATCTCAGGAACGCTGGAACGATCAGAAGCGCGAGCAGGGACGCTTCAGCGCCACTCGGACGCTTCAGTCAAACACCGAGTGCCACTTGGTCTTCACCGGTTTCATGAGTAAAACGGATGAGGTGGTGACCTGGCAGGTTTCGGGTGCTGGTAGGGGTTTTGACACCAAAGTCTCAATTGCTTCCTATCTGGAGCCTCCAAGATCGGTGGGACGTGGAACGTGTGTCCGTTCGTCTGCGGTGAAAAGCACTGAACCTAGGTCGGGTCTCCAAACGGCCAAACCGTGGATGGGTGCGCTGGTAGTGAACTATGTTCAAAAACTTGAACTTTCATGAGCACCCGGTGAATTCGGTGAGGTTCTTCTTTCTCAAATGCCACCATGGACGGTGCGTTCTTCCGTTTCTTAGGGCTCTTGTCCAGCATCCGAAAAGAAGGTGGGACTGAAGGTGGGTACCAGGGGGTCAGTCTGAGGATGTGTGGGACAGGAGGTCAGTCCTAGAGCTTTGTTATTCCTTTCGGTCTTGGCCAATTCCGGAGGCGTTCGACTAGTGCAGTGGTGGAAGTCGAAATTCCAGTTCTCAATTCTCCTTGAGGGGAACAAGACACCGGCCTTGTTTACGCGTGTGGGCACAAACAGGCACCCACCCCTAGCAAAAAGGCAAGGGGTGCACTTTTGAATTCAGTGATAGCTTTGTCTCGTGAAAGATTGTAACATCATTGCCATAGCTGCATACCAGTTGACTGAAGGGACGTGGCGACTGAACCGATAGGGGATCCACATGGGGAGAATGTGTTTGTGACGACTGTTCTCATAGTTGGTCCGGAAGAACCTCGGGATAACAAGGATACTCTACGATGTTCGAAGCTTCAGAGCACAAGTCCCTGCCTTGAAGGGTTTGGTTGATTTCTTTCCTTGAGAATGCGGACCAATCAAACAACACCATGGGTGTATATGTATATGATGTTTCAATGTACTTCCGGAGGGTGGTTCGAGTCATGCCATAGAGGGCACTTCCGCGCTGGTCCTCACCTCCGCTTCGGAAGGGTTAGTGACTCAGTCGTTTTATCTGGGGGACCGACTGCGCTGTGTTGAAAGGAACAGTATCAGCAAGCGCAGTATGTTTGTTTCCGGTAAGTTCATTGAGCATGATTCCAAGAAACGCAGCATGAGTCCCATTTTGCACCGGTCAGCCGCCGGCCTGGATAGCTCAGATAGCTCCCATAAAAGAGAAACACCGGTCGGAGATATGGTTACCATTCGATGTTTACTCGACTCATCGTAGAAGAAGACCGAAATCCATACCTTTCCCATTTGACATCGGACCATTCGACACAGGAGGTGGTGGATGTTGACAAGTTCAGAGAGTGGTTCGAACAGATGAAGAAGGCAGGGGAGCTCCCAAAGATTCCCAGAGTGACCATATGATGTTTCCGTGATTAATAACCCTGTATAGAGAAACATCATCTGGAGCGGTTGCAGGATGGAGTAGGGGCCCCGGGTCGTGCAATAAAACAACTAGGATCTCTGCAGATGTGGCCTCCAAACTGGAAGATGTTGTTGAACAATGTAGCAGCCCAGACCTTCCATGGGACCGGAACACATAGATACTAATACTTATATGGGTCATAAATGGGGTAAACTGAACAACAGTGTCACTATACTAGAACGACACGGATTTTGAAGGCGTTTTTATAGATTTGGCATTGCTTCCATGACCGTGATGAGGTGTTTCACGGTACACCCTGGATCTGTGAAAGGTGGACTATTACTTGGTGACAGTTGTTTGGTGGAATTAGTGGCCTGGTTTTGCTTATTAAGGTGATGTTCTACTTCCACGAACTGGGTAAATCCCCAAACCTGGGGATAATAGTTTATCAGATTTTATCCGATTATATTAATATCCAGCTTCCTGGACAGCAAATCCTTCCGGTGTGGTCGATTCTTTTGTGTGCGATTTGCTTTTTGTCGCTTGCAGACGTCGCGGGACCGGCGAATCGTCAGAGAAGAAAGGCGTCATCCGCCTAGGTCGATGACCATCGATCATCAAAAACCCAGCAGTGGAGCGAGCTTTGGATTGGTCCTGCTGTCCCACTGGGTGTTTGTGTTTTTTTTTATTTCATGGATAGGGATTGGTTGACTCTTGGCTTTGGGCAGATGTACCGGGTGATGATGTTGGTGACTCTTTGCATTGGGTGTTTGTGGTCTTGGCTCTTGGCCACTTGAAGAAATCGCTCCAACTCTGCCAGGCCACGCCATGGCCACTGGCCTCTGGCCACGCCATGCGCACAACTGTGGAGGGGTTCCCCTCCCAAAACCGTGTCGGCACCATATCGGACCACATGAGCAGTGGATATGCAGGTCTTTTCGGATCAATGATCCCTGGTCTATGACCTTCATTTTATCCATGGCTCGGACAGGTCTTAAAAAGGTAACGAGGTCATCAGTGGCAGACTGTATGTCAGTATCTTCTTTTGTAAACGCTTTCTCATCTCAGTGGCTGGCCTTGGTCCAGTAGGGTCATATCCAACAAACACCATCCCCAGGAATCGGGCTGGTCTTACAGATGAACCAGCCCGATCCCCATGAATTTCGTTTGACCGCTTTCCACCGGTGTCCCTCCATCCCTCCACCGGCCACACGCTGCCGCTTAACCTGCGCGCAGAACGATGCCGAGCTGCGCAGCTTCTTGACGATGGACACCTCGGTGAAGCAGGAGCCGAGCCTCGGAGCCCGACGGAGAGAGGGATGATCTGGGTGTGTATTGATTTGTTTTCTTTAACCCGCTTCCCACGTTTCCCTATAATTATTAAGTAGGCGCCTACGAAAAAAAAAAGGGATAAGATCGTAAGCTGCTAGCTACTACACTACTCGCATGGACGCAGGATAGCTCACGCTTTGACTGTCGGAAGCTCCCCCCGCCTGTTGCAGGGAGGTTCATCCCAGCTCAGCGGCCATCATTGCAGCACGGAGACCACATGGGTGTGTACGTTCACATAGGGAGACCCTCTCAGGGTGAGGCAACGACCCCCTCCTTCCAGGTTCAGAGATGTTGGACCAGTCTAGCCAGCCAGGTTGGAGGCCTCCCTATTACATAAAGAGATCAGGGGGGTCTATACATTTTGCCTAAGCTGTCAAACGAAAGAGAGGTGAACATTCCGGACGATATTTGGTTTGAACATCCGGATGCTTTTTTGTTTGAGAGATGTTTGTTTTCGTTTTTGTTTTTGTGTGTGTGTGTGCTTGAAGGTTTGATCCTTTGGTTTCCGGAGTCTTATGTGCACGGAGCCTTTCAGTTCGCGTATGGAATATCGGATCAACAGATGCGTCCAAGAGCTGAACAAAAGACAGCGAACCTCATGCAACCGAGCTCCCTAAAGCAACACGTACCTGTCTCAACCACCATCAACCACCATGTATTGGGGGTTTGCTAGTAAACCCTCCTTAACCAACTGATGTAGCCAGGCTCCCCTGCCTTTGCCAAATCAGGACTAGGGTTTTGACGATCCTTTGACCAACCACCATCAACCACCGGACAATTTGAAGAGCGGCCAGGCGGGCGACGGCTGCAGCGTGCTCTTCGACAAGCTGCCTTCTGCGGGAGGGCCGAAAGTCTTGCCCAAGGCGCGGCAGGTGGCATGCAGTTGTTTGCTCATGTTAGCAATATGGGGTGCTGGATTTTAAGAGATCTCGGAGAACCTAAGGACCTGTTTGTGTCATGTTGAGCAAACTCATGCAAACTCTATCAAACCATCCGGATTCCTTGCATTTGGGGTGGTACTAGAATGTTGTATAGGCTCTTCTCTTGTGGACTATCCATAGTCATCTTTATGATAAAGCTTTGAACAGTAGAAACAACAAACTCTTCCTAGCTGCGCATGTACCCTATTTCCCAACCCTGTTTCAAGTCTCAGGCGCCACATGTATCCAGACCACTTGAAGACCACAAGACTGGATGAAGACTAGCAAGATCTCACGCTCTCCTTCCATCCATCTCCTTGGATCTGCTGTTGTTTAGATGCTAGATCTCACCTAAGAATGTATTTTCTGTGTGGTTTGACTGACACACAGAAAGATTCCATGATCACCAAAAATTCAATGGGCTGGCATTTTGACTATTCTCGTAGTCCTGCTTTGGGAGCAGAGCAGAAATAGGGATGCAAGATTCACCCTCCGTTTTGCTTTCTCCAGGCATTTAGTTCTTTTTTGAGACACACTTTGACATTGGTTTTCAGTTAACTCAGTTCCCAGGTCA